CTGGCCGCCCACTAAGCCGCCCCAGAGGCAGCGTGCAGCAGCGAGAGGAGGAGCTGCTGGAGCGCACATCAGCTGGCAGGCTGCTCCGGATCAGGCAGCGGAGAACGGCCCGGGCGGCAGCCCTGGAGGAGCTGGGAGGCTCGCGAAGAAAACCGGAGGAGGACAGGAAGGAAAAAGAGGCCGCCGCGATAGGCAGAGCAGATGAAGAGGGGGACCGCCTGCAAAAAGGGGCGATCCTGAGCTGGAGACCATCGGGGACAAGCAAGATTGGCAGGCGCCAAGGCAGTGACATTCCCCGCTCCCCACCGTCCAGGTTCGCTGTCCGTTGCCCTGTGAGGGGTTAGACTACATCCCCCATCCACTAGAGCACCTTCCCTCCCTGTGGGAATTGTAGCTATCACAATCACGGCTGGAAAAAGCTGTGCCAGCTATTCATCAGCCTCGAGATTTCCAGGGACTTTTGAGACAGGATTGTTGGGGAATGCTATCCAACGATGCAGTCTCTGGTGGGTTGCACTCATTGCAGAGATACCCAACGAAGGAAGATAAAGTGAAAATTTCCCAGAGTTACATGATGTCCATTCATTTTGAGCCTTCAGTTCTTTTTTAAAGGCCACACCTGCATGTAAAATCTGAGGTCACGCAGCTGTATCATAAATCCTTGAGAATCATCCCAATTCAAAAGCTGAATGTCAGGTGTCTTAAGAACTCTTTAAAACTCTCAGACTGAGTTTTAAAGCAAGCCTGTGAATGCAGCCCAGCTCCAAGATAGACTGCAGAGGAACAGAACAGGAGCAGCTGGGAGGGGTAGTGGGGGGGGGGGGGGGGAGGGAAGGGGGGGGGGGATGATAGCAAGCTGTCACAGCCAGGCACAGAAAGAATGACACTTTCAGGCTGGACAGATGCAGCCTGGTACAAGCAGAGGGATGAGCCAACATGTGCTCTACAGGCTGAATGAGATCCATCACAAGGATGAGATCACAGGAAAAAGTGTAGAATTGCAGCCAGAGCTGGCACATCCCCAGGAAATGGGGTGGGGTGCAGATAGAGGGAATGGCATGTGGCAGCAAACACAAGAACAGAGAGGCAGAGAATTATCCTTGGACCTGTGGATATTTGGTTTGGGGTTTTTTCCCAGTGAAAACACTAATCTTCAAATGAAGGCAGATGCAGAGAATACTTTGCATTCTACAGCACATCTCAAACTATTTACAGGAATATATGAAGCTTCAATAGAAGCATACTATTGGCCATTTAGCCCACATTTCCCAGCTGCCTTCCAGGTGTGGGGATGATGAAGGATATAGCCCAAAACATCTGGAAAACAGACAGTTAGGAAGATTGGTTTGATCTGGAAAGTTATTTCATACAGTCTGATGTAAACAATTTACAAGACATTATGCAGATAGAAATGGTTTATTCCATTTTGATTTTTATTCCATAGCTGTCCCAATTCCAGTTTTGGTACCATCTTGTCCAGTTGTTATGGGTACATGGCATGTGACCCACCCTTTTCCTTCCCAGTTTCAAAAAGCCTCAAGTTGGAGGGAGCAAAGGGAGTGAACAGAGAGCTGTTCTATAAAGCCTAAAAGAGAATGTGGTAAGAACTTTAAAAAGTCCTCTCTGAATCCCACCAGTTTTCCAGTATACCATTTTGAAGGCAACTTCAGTATCTCAACTCCTGGTTCCTCTGAATAATATTGTCTAAATCCATTTTAATCTCATTTCAAGCTTGGCTATGGGGTGGAGACAGTTTTAATTGTTTTGATGGATGAATTGTGCTGGAAAGTAGACAGAGGAAGTGTGTGCATTCTTTTATGGTTCTTATGGATCTCTTAGCAGCTGTTAGTACAAACAACCATGGTATCTTTTGCATTGCCTGTAAAATATTGGCTGTTTGGGATAAAACAAAATACAGAGAATGGAACAAGGTAACTAAAATCCTGAGCAAAAGCACACATCAAGATTTTGTTAAAGATCTCATTTGTTTATATTCATTGACATTTCTCTACATTTGTTTCAGAAATCAGTAGAAAACAGCCATGATTTTGCATTACTTCTGCATTCACACAGTATAATGTATAGTATAGTAATATATAGTATAAAAGGAACATATTCCCAATTGGGAATAGTGTAGTGTTTTATTTGTGCTTGTAAATTAAAAACACAGGTTTTGAGCCTGCAGGACTATGTTTTCCTTAATCCTAAATGTGAGGGTTGATGTGTGTAGAGCAGTATTTTTCAATCTTGGCAACTTTAAGCTGTGTGGACTTCAACTCCCAGAATTCCCCAGCCAGCATGCTGGCT